CCCCCCCTGCGCGGCGCCTCCGACGCCGCCACTGGCGCGCTCCGCGCGCCAGGGAAGGCGGCTTCAGCGCCGACCCAAGACATCTGCGCGGACTTTCGGAAGTCTCCGCGAGGTCGCGGGGCTTCGAGGCTCGACCGAGGATCGGGGCTTCTGCGCGAGCATCGAGGCTTCTTCGGGGGCCTCGGGTCCCTCCGGGCCCCCAGTCGACGGTTCGGGCCCCGCTCGAGGGAGTGTGGAGGCTTCTGTTGGGGTGCGGACTTCTGGTGGCGGCTTCAGCGCCGACCCCTAAAAACTGCGCGGACTCTCGAAAGTCTCATGTTCGTGCAGCTTCTGCTTCCTTTGAGCAGGGATCGACCGTCCCAGCATTCCTATAGGCCTATACCACGACATGTTCTTATAACCCCAAAACATGCTCGAACAACAGACACAAGGTTCTTAGAACAGAAGCCGGATTGGTTAAAACAAGACAGTATCGGCCATGCATGTTCCAAGAACGTTTCGTGCAGACCACAACAGGTTATTCGACCATTCTTTGGTAGGTGTATCGGAGGTGAGGGGGTGAGATCGAAGTGGAACGGAGAGCCCCCCTACCGGGAAATCGATTTCGGTTTCGTGTTCGTGCGTGCCGTGCGTGCGGGCGAGGCCAAGCTGCGTGGGCGGGCGAGAGAAAGTCTCCTGTGGCTGAGGCGCGGCCGGACCAAATGTTTCTCTTCCGGGCGGCCGGTGCTGCGCGGTGTCCCGCCGGTGTCCCGCTGGTGTCCCGTGTGGCTGAGGCGCGGCCGGACCAAATGTTTCTCTTCTGGGCGGCCGGTGCGGCGCGGTGTCCCGCCGGTGTCCCGCCGATGTCCCGTCGGTGTCCCGTCGGTGTCCCGATGATGATGATGATGATGATGATGATGATGATGATGATGATGATGATGATGATGATGATGATGATGATGATGATGATGATGATGATTATGATGATGATGATGGGGGTTTGGAATTTTTTTTGGGAAGATGATGATGGTGATGAGGATGTTGATGATGGCGTATCGATGATCGATGATAGAGGAGGAGATGTTGATGTTGATGATGATGATGCTGATGATGATGATGATGACGTCGATTGTGAGATCGATTGTGATATCGATAGTGAGACCGAATGTGAGATCGATTGTGAGATCGATAATGAGACCGAATGTGAAACCGAATGTGAGATCGATTGTGAGATTGATTGTGAGATCGATAGTGAGATCGATAGTGAGACCGAATGTGAGACCGAATGTGAGATCGACTGTGAGATCGATTGTGAGATCGATAGTGAGATCGACAGTGAGACCAAATGTGAGACCGAATGTGAGATCGATTGTGAGATCGATTGTGAGATCGATAGTGAGATCGATAGCGAGATCGATAGTGATATCGATAGTGAGATCGAATGTGAGATCGATTGTGAGATCGATAGCGAGATCGATTGAGTGAGACGTTAGTTCCCCCTCCCCCCTCACCTCCTTATCACGCGCAGGGTGGTCGTATAGGTAAGCAAGCTGGGACGCCTCGCCACTGCTCGATTCTTGGGCGTCGCTCAATGAGGGGGGGGCGATGGATGGGGGGGTGCGAAAGGTGCACTTTCGGGCCCTGGAAGCTCCCTCTGGGGCCCGAATGCTCCCCTTTAGCCTTCAGGGGCCCTAAGAGGGCCCCTGTGCTGCAGCCCTCGCTGCCCTCCGCCTCTGTCGCCCCCCCCGTTACGCGACGCCCAAGCTTCGCCGACTGGCGGCGAGTCCGGCGGGCAGTCTCGGTCTCCCTGGAGAGGAGTTAGAAAACTTCTCGGGAAGAGGAGGACGAGAAGGCGGAGGAGGAGGAGAAGGAGGAGGAGGAGAAACATGAGGAGGAGAAAGAGGAGGAGGATGAGGAGGAGGAGGAGGAGGGGGAGGTGGAGGAGGGGGAGGAGGAGGAGGAGGAGGGGGAGGCGAAGGAGGAGGAGGAGGAGGAGGAGGGGGAGCCCTGGAGAAGGCTCATAAGACCTCTCGGAAGGCGCGAGGGCGCCCGCCCAGCCGCCTTCTGAGAAGGCCTGCCCCCTCTCGCTGAGGAGGCCCAGGGATACACCAAAAAATAGCCACACGTCCTAGGATCCACTGGATGATTCAATAATTGTCTGGCCTTTCGCCCCCCCCCCCCCCACACGTCCCACATCCCATACCAATTATTCTCCCTTCTTCTTTTCTTCCTGGGAATCGACGACGCTTCGTGCCTGTGTGTTTCTTCCCTCCCGATCCTTGAGGTTCGTCTCCCCGTCCAGGTTCACGGTCGACACGAACGCCTGCTCGTCGCTCGCCTGCACGATGAGGGCGTCGGCGGGCAGCGCCTCTGAAGGGGCCCTGGGACACACAAATAAATACACACAAATGAAAATATTCCCCATATTTTCCCATATTTTCTGGGTTCTGTCTTCCCTCCCACTTCCCATATTTTCCCATGTTGTCCTGGGGATCGACGATTAATTGTGTCTGTGTGTTTTTCCCCAACTCAGCCTCGTCCTGCAGGGACAGGATCAGGTCGCCCGCGACGATATCGCGCCACTGCACCTGCACGAAGGACCCCGAGGCCGGGTCGTACCGCTGGCACGGCCGGCTGTTCTCCACGTCGTCGTCACGCCGCTTCTGGAGATGTGGCCGCTTCGTTTCTCGGCGAGAGCCCGGGCCGTCCGAGGGGGGGGGGGGGCGGCAGGCGGGGGGGGGGGCGGGCGGTCGATGACCAAACCTTTTCGCTCTGGGCAGCCCCACGTATGCCCGCTCGCACCAGTGCTGCGCACCCCCTTCGGACCTGCGCCGCCGACGAGGCCAGGTGGCCGGGGGAGGCGCGGGCGGGCCGGACACCACGGACTGCCGCCGGACCCCCAGAAAGCAGTCTCCTTCAGGTCCTCGTACAGGTCCTTCAGGGCGGTCCACAGCAGCACGGCCACGAAGAAGGCCGTGCAGGTGAGCCAGGAGATCACCGGCTCGATGAAGACCAGGACGGACACGCAGAGGAAGAAGACGTTCGCGGTGCGGCGGAACTGCTCGAAGAGGGACTTCGGCAGCCAGGTGAGGGGCGTGAACCTCGGAGCAGGGCGAGCCGAGGCGGCGACAGGTCGACCTCGGCCCGGGGGCCCCTCCCGGGTCCAAGCGCTCCAGTCTTCGCAGGTGGAGCACAGATCCGTAATTATCAGCAGCCTCGCGGGCCGCGACCCCGCGGACACGGGGCGCTGCTTTGGCCCCCGGACGCACCGCGCGGAGCGCCTCCGTGCGGCCGCCTCGTGTGCGGCGGGCAGCGCCCCAAAGGGCAGGGGCAGACTCTGCCCTTGCCTCGCCACGACTCGCTGGCAGCGGTCGTGGCGAGCTGCTGGGGACCTCCTCCTCCTCCTCCTCCTCCTCCTCCTCCTCCGCCTCCTCCTCCGCCTCCTCCGCCTCCTCCTCCTCCGCCTCCTCCTCCTCCTCCTCCTCCTCCTCCTCCTCCTCCTCCCGGTGGGCATCGAGACCGCGAGGGCGCGGACACCGATGCGCGCGCCGCTCGTGGATCGTCGATCGTCCTGCGGGCTGCGCCCGGGGCCGTGGCGACGACGGGGCCCGCCGGAGGCCGACCGCCGCCGCCTCAGCTCGCGCCCCCTCCCCCCCCCCCCTCGGGGAGCCGGCTGTTGCGCACGGCGTTGGGCCGGTGGCCGCCGCGCCCCACGGCCTCGAGAGGAAGCGCAAGCAAGCTGCACGGCGCACCATTCCGCGGAGGCCCGAGCATCGTTCCACCGATCCCCGTCCCCACTGGCGCTGCGACAGGCTCCAGACACAGCACGGGTCTGAGCACGACGCTCTGGGAACATGTGCGTCCGAGGGTGAATGGGTCTGAACGTGAGGGAGTCTGAGTGTGAGTGAGTCTGTGCGCATGAGTGTGGGTGAATGTGAGTAGTTTGAGTGTGGGTGTGAGCGTGAGAGGTCTGAGTATATTTAAGAGTAAGTGACCTGAGTGTGAGCGTGAGTGTGAGAGGTCTGACAGTATCTGAATGTGAGTGTGTGCATGAAAGGTGTGAGTGGTATGAGTGTGAGTGTGCGTCGTCGTGGTGGTCCTAGTCGTCGTCCACGTCGTCGTCGTCGTCGTCGTCGTCGTCGTCGTCGTCGTCGTCGTCATCGTCCTCATCTTCGTCCTGACGGGGCTTGGCACCGAACCAAGCAAACCGCCTGAGACATCCCCACCCTTGAGGTGCTGGAGCCAGCATTCCGCTCGAGACATCCTCGCACTATGCTCTGAACGCAGACGAGCCTGGGGTCCGAAACAGACAAGCCGCATGAGACATCCCCGCAATCTGGGCGCGAACGGGGATGTGGCATACCCCCCGGCGGCTCCCCCCTGGGGCGCTGGGGCCGGCGCTTCGCCAGAGGCATCCTCGCAGTCTGCTCCGGAAGCAAAGGACGATGGGCACCCCCAACGCGCAAGCCCCCCGAGACTTCCCCACAACCCGGGCGCGAATCCTGGGAGTGTCCCCACCCCTGGCGGGAGTGCTGGAACCAGCGCCTCGCCTGAGGCATCCTCACAGTCTGCTCCGAAAGCTGAGGACGATGGGCACCCAGACAGGCAAAGTGCTGAAGGAATCCCCGCGGTCTCGGCGAGAATCCTTTGGTGTCCCCACCCCTGGCGGCTCCGTGTTGGGTGCCCAAGTGCGGCGCCTGCTACATCGCGATGGGCAGTGACACAAGTGAGTCTGATTATGGGTGCGTCAGAGTATGACTGAACCTAATTGCGAGTGGATCTGAATGAATCAGAATATGAGCGGGTGTGAATACGAGTCAGTAAACATGAAGAAGAAGAGGGTCTGAGGCGTGAAGGGGAGGATGAGAGAGTCGTCTGGATAATTACTCGACGCGGCAATCCACACATGTGCATCTCATATTCATGCCACGTTTTGCTCAGTAACTCTTCTGTGTGCGAACATCTGGGTGCGAGAACGCGGGGGACACTGACGACGACGACCGCGACGATTTCAGTGAGGTCTTCCTCCAATGGGCATATCTCAAGGGATATGAAGGAGCACACAAATCGAAAAGCGGGGGGAATCCTCTTCCTGACGTTCTCACAACGGCACCTCGGGCAACACCGCATTGCGTTGCTAAGTCTGGTCTCTGGCGTGCTACTCGTGTCGCCAGCTGGCACTTGGTGTGCCCATCCACCACGCATGCAATATCGCGGTGAATACGTGCACGTGAGCCTTAGAGCGCGCGAGCATGAAAGGGAGCGATCTGAATGTGAGTGAATCCGGGTGTGAATGAACCCAGGTACGATTGAACCTGAGTGTGATCGAGTTTGGGTATGATGAGTCGGAGTGCGAGTGGGTCTGGGTATGAGTGAGTCGGAATGTGGGCGAAAATAAGTGCGATTGGGTCTGACTGTGAGTGAATTTGGGTGTACGCGAGTCTGGGTATGACTCTGATGAGTACGAGTCTGAGTACGAACGAGACTGGTTACGACTGGGCCTGACAATGCATGAGTCGGATTGTGAGTTAGCCTGGGTGTGAGTGAATTTGAGCCGGGGTGAGAATAAATGTGGGTGTGACTGGATCTGAATGAATCTGAATATGCGTGAATCTGGGTATGGGTGAATCTCAGTGTGCTGAATCGGTCTGGCTGAAAGATGTGTGAGGGAAACTTCCTGGTCATACATCATGGCGGTGAGGAAACATGGTTTTACTCCTCGGGAGGCCATGTCAAGCAATCGTAGTTGGTGGGCTTGAGCCAGGTCGGCTATGGACCACCCTGGATAAACACATGCACGTCACGTAATTACGGGCGGCTGGGCGACGAGAGGGTCAGCTCATAGGACCACTTATGCAATTAACGCTAAGCCCAGGCTTCATGCGCTGGAGAAAATTATTAACAATGAGGGCCTATGCCGACACCAGCACAGCACAAACAAATCGTGAAGCGCGTTGCCTGACCACTGCACATCTCGCGATAACGGATCTTCAAATGCTCCCGCGAAAGAGGATCTTCAAACGGGAAAAAAAACAGCAATCACTGGCGATGCGTCGGCCTTGTGTTGAGGGAAACAAGCAAAGAGGAATCATGGTAGTAGTAAGAATACTAATCACGGTAATCGTGAAACTATAACCAATAATAATCTAATAATACGAATACGAACGGGACTGCAAATCGATGAGGGCCAGACAAAGAAACGAACCATACTATAGAACAACAAAAGCGACACGGACTGTGCGTCTAGAAAGCTTTCGGCTGTATGTCGCCAGTCGAGAGGTGGAAAATACGTCGAAAGGGGAAGTCGATAGCTGAGTCCACTCCAGATGCTTGTATGCAGAGGCTCGGGATCCATTGCGAACTGCCAAGCGCCCCTTGCGCTCTGATAGCGAATGAGTGCGTCATGCTATCCACTGGCATCGCCGGATGGGTGAACCACCCAATAAGGCTGCCCACCCTCCCCATCACCGCCCTCGCCACGGACAAATCCACGGCCATTCGCCGATATGCCTTGGAGCCCGTCGTCTCTTTATTTAAGGTGCCGCATACTGTTTTGCGTTGCGACGCTCAGTTTGAACAAGGAAACGCAATCGAGCTTGTTATCTCGGCGAAGCACAGCAGTGAACGGACCGAAGAGATCGCGCCACGTTTCGGACAGAAGACCCGAGAATAACACTCAAGCGCAATATTTGCAGCCACTTCGCCAAGGCCGGTGCGCGACTAGACGGTTGAACCCCCCCAGCCAATGTCGAAGGAACCTGGCGCCGAACCTTAGAAGACGCCCGAGAGACAAGCGTGGCGCGCGCCAAGCTTCCGGAGGAAAAAAACTGGTATGCTGCTGGGGCCTGCCACGCCTGCTGAATTCTCTCTGACGTGTCGCTACCCACCGCGTCACAATCACTCGCGGACCCGAAGATCATGGACCCTGGGCGGTACTTCCACGCGGAGGTCGGAACTGTGGCGGTATTCATGAGGAGCTCGGCTGCCCAATTGGCCTGCAACAGGTCTCCCACGGCGGGGGCGCTCACAACCGACGCCAAAATCGAGGCCGCCCCTGATTCCTCTGCCCTCGCCCCCTTTCCCACCCAAGACAAGCGGCGCACTGGAGACCAGAACGGCGCTCTCTCGAGACGTCGCCGCGGCGCACTGTGGTTGACTCTCCGGTGGCGAGGCAGATCGATCTTCGTGAACGACTCGAGGGTGTATTTCTCTTGGTCAGCTATGACTCTGTCACCCAAGAAACGTAACCCCCAGCCTATATACTCAACGCCCTTTTTGTCCACCAGACGAAGTTCTCCAGACTGGAATCGTTCCTGGAAGGACTTCAAATGCTGATCTGCCGCGGGCGGGCGCGCGGCAGTAGCCCCCGGCCGACCGCGCCCAGCAAGACTAGACCTCGGATATCACCGCTTTGTGATATGCCATGAAAAAAAAACGCGGCTCCATCATATTCTTCCGGAAACCAATGCGCTTGAAGATCTCCGCGGTGGTGCGGCGCAACGCTAGAGAGGCGTCGTCTAGTACTGGCGCAATCAACTCCAGGAACAACATTGACATCCTGGACCCCATCGAAGCGTTGGCGCGTAGACCCTCGGTTCGGCCGCGTCGGGGCCCTCATTCCCTCACGCGCGCCGCTGGCTTGTAGCTTTTGGGCGCGAAGAAGTGTCTTCTTGAAGCCTCCGTCGTCTCGCCATGCGACTAGACGCGACGTGGCGGGGGAATTCTCGCTGGATGGCCCGGGCAACTCGGGCGGCCCCGGGCCGTGAAACAGCAGCCCACTCAGCATGATCAGGAATGTCGGGCCCGGCCTGTTCCGCAGGAGCAAGTTCTTCCACGTGGATCCAGGCCCGCGGCGGTAGCGAGGGAAAAACTGCAGCCCGCGTGGCCGGGGCGGACTTGGACGCACACGTCCACATTTCAATTCAACTGCGCGCGCCAGTCGCCGCCCCAGCCACCGAACGACAAGTGCGCACTTATCGACGGGGGAAAAGACTCACGCGCATCCAGCTCATCCCGCTGCTCCTCCTCGCATGATCCAGGCCAAAGTCGGTCGGGCACTCGGGGGCTCCTCTCGAGACCCCCGGGGGTCCCCCTCGCCGATGGAGGGGGCCTCGCTGCGCGACGCAGCAGTTGAAGGGCCCGAGGGAAAGGGCCCCGGAACCTGGGGCGCGGCGGCCGACTGCTCCAACTCTCGAGGCGGGGCCGCGGCCCGTCGGCGTCGCACTTCGCCCGCCAGGAGCGGAGGTTGCCCCTCCGGCTGATGCGATCGCCCCTCTGTCCGATATCCTCGCCGCCGACGGGCCTTCTGCGGGGGCGTCGTCGCTCCGAGAGGGCGGTGGCAGATGTGCGAGTCGGTCAGATCCCCTGAACTCGCGGCTCAAAAGACTCGACCGCGCGCCCATGGGATGGGGCCCTCGCCGCGCGCGCGCTCCAGCGCGGGGGCGGCCGATCCGCGAGCTTCCCGTCGCAGTTCTCTGACAGCAAGGCCGAACAGAACGAGGTCGCTCCTCGCGACGCGAGCACGTCGCGACGCGCGCGGCAATCTGAACCTGCAGAATGACGACCTGGGGCCCGCCCGCTGGACTCGTTGCAGCGCCTGACACCCCTGGCCCGAGCGGGCGGCCCGACGCCGCGAATGGGCCCGCTGTCCCGGGGCAAAAATCCAATCCTTGCTCCCTGGGCCCGCAGACGACCGGCGACTCGACAGATCCCTCGGCGGGCGCGCGCTCGGATGGAGGCTTCCCGGGCGCAATCGGCCGCCGCTGCGTCGCAGCCCCAGGAGGTCCCAGAAGGTGGGACATGCCGATTGTGGACGCGGCATCATCGGAGAGAACGTCGTTGGGCATTGTCGGGTTCTGACGCGGGACCGGCTAATGCGGGGTGAACCCTTCTCTGTGCAGGTGCGCCGTGCACTAGCAGTTCCAGCTACTGGACTGAAGCTGCGACCTGGTCATCCATGCCCCTCGGCCAGCCGCCGCGACGCTTCAAGCGGCTGATCTTTCCTGGGGGCTCTCGCTGTTCACCGCGCCTTGCAAAATGCCGCAGCGCTCAACTCCCCGTTCGAATTCAGCTTGGAACTCAGGACCGCCGCCGCGAAGCAACGCGTCGGGGGGGCCCAAATACCGAATCCAGGAGAAGAAAAACTAGTTGCAAGCAGGCACTGTTGGCGCCGCCCAAATGCATGGGCACCGCCTGGAAGTTCGCGACGTGGCACGCGACGTCGAGGACGGTTGCCCGCTGCTCCTTTATGCTCACAGAGAACGTCGATACCAAGAACCCGCTGAAACTGGAACGCGCGATGCATGTCTTCTTTCGGGGGCCTACGCTGGGCCTCGCAAGCATCGCGCCGACAGCGATTTACCAGCAACTTCTAAACCTCGGGTTTGACCTGGGCGGCCCCGAGGACCTTCGCGAACTGGTCTGACCGCGGGTGGCCCAGGTTCACGTGCGACTTGATCACCCTTGTTCCGTTGGCGGCTGATATCTCTATCGGAGGGGAAGCCAGCTACCCCCCGACATCTTCCTGGCCCACGCCATGGTCGCGTCCTGATGGGATATCGCAGAATTTCTGGGCTGACGCCACTCCCCCATCTTCTTCCGCGTTCTGGGGCGCATCGCGCGAGGTGGGTGACAGACGGGGGCGCCACTTCTCGGCGCCAGATTCATCGCCGCGGCATCGACTTGGGGCGGATGCAACGCGCATGCTTCTTCGGGCCCCAGCCCCTCGCCCGAAAATGGCACCCGGAAGACCGGGGGCGGAAGGCGAAATTCAACGGGGCCGAACCTGCCCTGGGCCTTGGAGGAGGAGGAGGAGGAGGAGGAGGAGGAGGAGGAGGAGGGGGAGGAGGAGGAAGAGACGGAGGGAGGTCTTCCGCGACCTCGGCGGTGCATGGGGGAACCTGAGGGGCGCGGGGGCTCGACATCGGGCCGCTGCTCTCGCCTCTCGCGGCCCCCCCCTCTCGGGGAGAAGCCGCTATCTGGGGCCCCCGAACTTCCTCGGCCATCTCGCGCGGGCGAGGCGCGCGCGAGGGAGGGGCGGCGCGAGCGATCTCGGCCGCGAGAACTCCCGCGCCCTGACGAGCCGCCCTCGCGCGGCGAGCTGCGGCCGCGGCGAGCCTCTCGGCCAGCCTGGGCGGGCGCGCCCGAGCGCCCGAGGTCTCCTGCTTCCACTCGAGAAGAGCGCGAGCGCGGCCCCCCTGACGCTCGATGCCGGGGCAGTTCTCCAGACTTCGACGTCCCCGCGGGCATCCGGGGAGCATCTGCAGGGGGGGCCTGCAACCCGAAACGGCGCTGATCAATAAGAATGTAGACGCCATGTTCTTCCCCATAAATTCTTGCAAAGCCCCGATTTGCCGGGGTCGGGGGGGGCGAGGGCGCCCCGCAATGAACGCCCGGCCGGGCGAAGCCCGCCGCGCAGACCCCTCCGCCGCGAACCTCGGGGACATCGGGCTTTCCGGGCCCGTCCGAGGCGCCGTCTCCGCATTGGCGTTCTTCCTTCCCGCGCCCAAAGTCCCGCCGAAGGCTTTGACAAGAAGGGGGCCCAACCGTTGCCGCCCAGGGCTCGCGTGGATCGATCCGGGCCAGCGCTCGCCGCCCATGGTCTCGCCCACGGACATTCCGGCCCGTCTCGAGGCCCCAACTCTCCCCGCGCGCGCGACCCCCTGACTCATGGGGCGGATATATTTCCAGGCAGCACACAAGGCTCTCGCTCCTGCCCCTGCAGTTCGCCCTCTCGCCCCCGGCGCAGGGCCCACGGGCGGGGGTGGCTTTTGCGAGAAGAGCCCCTGGAATAACACCCTCGCTATCGTCGCTCATCCAACTCTCACCCGCGACATGCCGCTCCACAGAAGCTGCCGAAATACAACCCAGCACTCGTTGGCGGCGCCACGCCCAGTAGAGATCGCCTGCTGAGCCAGAGACAAGCCGCTCTGCTGCAACCTGAAGATCCGGTTTGGCGACGTGGAGTCCAGGGTGAAAATGTTCTCACCTGGAATGGCCCTGGCTCTGCTGGCGAGGAACTCCTGCGTCTCTCCGGACAGGCTCTGGAAAACCTGCAGCTGACTCGGCTCACTCCTCTGCTGTCCGCGGGGGGTGGGGCCTCGGGCTCCGCCTTGGATTGGGTCGCCCGGCCCTCACAGCTCGGCGACCCCGACGGTGGAGGACCCCCTGAAGCGCTGGACGAGGCGGACGAGGCGACTGTCGACAGCCGCCGAAGAGCCTGTCCCCGTTGCTCCATCTTGCGCGGCATCTGGGCCACCTTCGCATCCTGCTGCGCAACAATCAATCGAGCGCAGCTGCTCCTGGGACCCCCGTCAACTGCTGCACCTGGCACGTCGTCTGCGTCGGGCCCGCCTCGCCTGAACGGCGCTCGGCGGCTGGCGGCGAGAACCTGACCTGCTTTGGCAGCTCGCCTGGGTCGACAAGCTTCATCTTCGCGCCCGCCGGGTCCGGCGCTGGCTAGGACATTCCGGCGCGCCCGCGGCATCTCGGAGCGGCGATGCAACGGGCAATCGATTCGCAGCGGAAAACTGGAAGTCGCGCGCCTCGCGCCTGGCCGAGAAGCGAGGCCTCTTCTTGTCGCGTTCCATTGGCGCCCGCGCCCGATGCTGCCCAGCTTGAGCGACGCGACGGGGCGGCGCTTGAGCGCCCTCTCGGTCCAGGGGCGGTCGTTCACCAGGCAGCGCGCGAGATTCTGCGACCGCGCCAACGCGGCCATGAACGCGAGAGGTGTCATGCACGTAGAGTTGCTCAGAGCGCCCCTCTCCCGGTCGCCCCAGCTCTTCGCGCTAGCCACGAGGGCCAAGATCACCTCGCCCCCGCGATTCAAATGAGGGGGGAAGTGGGGGGGGGGGGGGGGGGGGGGGGGGGGGCGTCGGAGATGCCCGCCCTCCTCGCGACGTCGTCGAGCCGCAACTGCCACGGGCAGACAGCATTGTCGACGAAGTCAGGATGGCCAGCTCGCTCGAAAAAACCCCTGCCCATGCACGCCGCGCTGCGCTGGTCGCCCTTCCTGGAAACAACCCCGCCCATGGCCATGGAGTTCATCATCCATGCCGCGCGCGCGGGGCTCAGACAGCCCACGGGGGCTGGGAGATCCTGGAAATCTTGAAGGGGGCGCGCCTGGCCCTGAGGGACGAGATAAACGCTTCTCCGTGCGCTATCCAACGTGGCCCAATAGTCTGGGCGGAGCGCCCCGGGCTCGACCGCCTTCTCGGGCCGCGCATCTGTCGCCCCGTCGGGCCGCGTCTCGGTCGGGCGGCGGGCGGAGAAGATATCGAGAGATGCGACCGAAAAAGGAGAAGAAGAACATGAGGGATAAAAAATGACTGGGGTATAGATGCCAGGTTACTGCGCAGCGCTCCCCCGACCCCTGCCCCAGGCCGCGGGGCCTCAGGCTGACGGGCCTTGGGCGGATCGGAGGCAAGGATGGCGCGCCCCTTTCTCGAACTGGCCAGGATGCAATCAGCGCGCGAATGCGCGAACGCAAGTGCTCCTGCAGGACCTCCTGTGGGCCCTCGAACTGGCCCGCTTGTTCCATCTCGATCGCGCGCAGACACCTGCGCCCAGCAGAGAATTTGATCAGGTCCGTGGAGCACCGCGGTTTCTCACAACAAATCTCGCCGGCTGCTGGGCCGACGCGGGCCCCCAGAGCATCTTGAAAGGATCTCGGCATCGGCGGTGGAACGCCCACGCTCGCTGCGTCTGCCCCCGCGGCGCCAATCCGCTGGTCTATGCCCGCGGGGGCCGGCCCAAAACAATGCCAAATCTGCGCCAAACCTCCCATGCCCCTCGCATTATGGCGCCTCGGGGGCACGAGCGGACGCGTGGCCCTTCTGCCTGCGGTTGGACTCCCACCCGGTCATGCGTCTCTCTCTCTCTCTCTCTCTCTCTCTCTCTCTCTCTCTCTCTCTCTCTCTCTCTCTCTCTCTCTCTCTCTCTCTCTCTCTCTCTCTCTCTCTCTCTCTCTCTCTCTCTCTCTCTCTCTCTCTCCCGCGAGCTCCCGTCGGGCGGCGGCGTCGACGACCGCGGCCCCTGGGGGCGCGCTCGGCCCCCGCCCCGGCCGGCCGCGCGGGGGGCGCCGCGGGCCCGGTTGATCAGCTCTGGTGGAGAGAGATGAAGGCGGGGGCCGCAGTCGCTGGCCCCGTCGATCGACTCTTCGGGCCCCTGGACCGAGATCAGAGTAGCGCGGCTTTCGCCGACGTCGTCATTCGGGAAGATGAACGCCGACGGGGGCCGCCGTGGCAATGCTGGATGATTCGGGCACCCACCTCGATCCCCAGCGCGCCTTTTGCCAACGCTTCCAGCGCCGAGTCTTTTCACGATCTCGGCAAGCTGACGTCGCGTCTACGTTCTCGAGCCTGGGCTCGCTGACTCCAGCGCGCGCCGTCGCCTCGACCAGCCGGCGGCCTGCTCTCGGATGGTCCTGGAACAATCTGAGGCCGATGACCATGTTTGCGATCCACCTTTATATATCTCTTGTAGTCCTTGTTATGCGTTCGCGTCGTCCTTTTCGTCTGTCTGGAAATGTGCCTATATCTCGGGTGTCACCTTCTCTGGGAAATCCCGGTTCTCGATGGCATTCAGTGGGGTCATGCCATCCTCTGCGTTCATGGAGCTGACGTCGCTGCACTCCAACCAAGACCCCCCGCTCGCTGTCTCCGCCTTGCCCCCGGCGAGCTGCGGCTAGAGAAATCTGGACCTGGGACGAGCTCTGCGTCTCCTTCTTCCTCGCGTCCAAATGTCGCAGAGCTCTCATCGTGGCGTCGTCCGCCTTGACGTCCCTGGTCAAAGTTCTCAGCACATGGGCCCCTCTGAGAGTCGATGGCATCGCTCTCCTCTAAATAAGATGATATATTCCATGCGTCGGGTAGGGGAAGTCCCTGGCCCGACAGGCGGTCGAACTGCACATCCATCTTGGCCGTGCAATCGCACAGCGACTCTGAGGACTGCCGATGAATCTTGAGTACACGTGCCCGTGCCGTTTTTCTCTGTTCGTCGCCGCCACGCTCCCTGGACAAAGCGCCGAGGAGTTCAAGTATAGCATATATCCTTCCAGCTCCCTGTAGGAGTAGTTATGTAAAGAATGTGTCCGAACTTCGTCTGCAACTGTATTGTCAACTGTCCCATGACTCGATCCGCCCGTCTACGCACTGCCATGTCAGCGTTGTTATGCCACCGCCGGATCCAGAACTTGTAGCCACCCAAAGACCTCCAGGGCTCGGGGTCAGTGTGGTCCGACTTGCGATGCGAGTCGCTGGACCATTGCTCGCGCGCCGAACCCCGCGCCCAGACGGGTTCGGACCAGTCAGGTCTGCTCCGCCATCTTGTCCTGCCGCGCTGACGACCAGGTCAATCCACTCGATTCTCGGCGTCCGGTCGACCATGGTTCGTCGTGCTCCTATCCGTCGTCGTCGTTCTTCTTCTTCGCTTCAGCACAATTAAAATCGGGCCTGGCGTCCGGGGTCCTCGCAATATCCTGCTGGTCGATCTGTCTAGAGATCCGACCCTTCCAGCCGCAATCGTCCCACACGCCTGCCCAACGCCACCCTCGCTGCCGCCTGTCCGCGGCCCAGTCCTTAGCGCAACCACATGCCTCGGAGAGAGCTGCCTGGACCACGTCTCTCAACTTGCGCATGATCACCATGCGCAGACCCTGTGCTGCCTGACCACTTCACTCGACTGCTGCCCTGCCGAACCCTCTACCTCGGCAGTACTGTTAGCGACCTCCTCGAAAGATCAGTCGCTCCCCTTCCCGCCGCGTGCTTCACGAGAGTCAAGGGAGTGCGCGGACATCATGGGGCCGACCGCCGTCCGTGCTGGAGACAACGCCGCCAACCGCTTCTGATACCAATACGTGACGAAACTGTTTTGATGATGCGTTATGGCGGTCAGGAAAAATGCCCCTCGGGAGGCCATGCCAAGCAATCGTAACTGGTAGGCTTGAGCCACAGCGTCTATGGACAACTCTGGATGGACACATGGATGTCGCGCACAGGCAACTGGCTAAGCTCATTGGAACACTCACTAAATAAATAAAACGAGGCGCTCGCGAGTACTTCTGAGCGTGGAAGCGTGTGTCGGGCTGAAGAGGAAGAGGAAGAGGAGGAGAAGGAGGAGGAGGATGACGAGGAGGACGAAGAGGAGGAGGAGGAGGAGGAGGAGGAGGAGGCGGTGAGCGCATGAATGAAGAGCTTCGGGGGCAAAAGCCAAGAAATCGCCAGAGACATCCCAACGATCTTGGCGTGAATCCTGGAATATCCACTCCCCTGGCGGCTCCCCCTCTGGAGTGCTGAAATCAGCGCCTCGCCCGGCAAATTCTATCAAATCTGCTCCGATGGTAAAGGATGTTGCGCACCCGAACGGGCAAACCACCTGAGACATGCCCACGATCTGGGCGCGAGTCCTGGAGTGTCCCCACCCCTGGCGGCTCCCTCTTGTGAGTGCTGACACCAGTGCCTCGCATAACACAACCTCGCACTCTGCTCCGGAAGCAAAGGATGTTGGGCGCCCACACCAGAACACCGCCTTAGGCATCACCACGCTCTGGGCGCGAACTCTGGAGTGTCCCGGCCTCTGGCGGTTCTCCCTTCGGATGCCTCAATGCCACGCCTGTCATATCGCGGTGAGCAACGGGTGTGAGCGAGTCTGCTTGAATCTAAATGTGAGTGAGTTTAGATCTGAGAATAATTACATGAGTGTGAATACGAGTGAGTCTGAGTGTGAGTGTACCTGAGTATGCCTGAGTCTGAGTAGGAGTGAATGAGTCCGAAGAAGAGGAGGAGGGTGTCAGGTGTAGGCTGTAGGGGACAGGAGGTCGGAGGCGTCTGAATAATAACAAGAACCACCTCTTAGGATATGGGTATAACGAGAACCCCATCTTAGGAGAGGGGGAACGATGCTGAAGGCCCGCGCGGGTTTCTTGGATCGGCGCTGGACCCGGCGCAGGGGTGCCCAGCGCAGGGGGGCCCAGCGCCGATCCAGGGAACCCGCGCGGAGCTCCGCGAACTTATGTGTTCGATGCCATTGCTCGTTCCTCGAAGCCTCCGCGCTCGGCCGGCACAGCAGGGCGCCGCTGCCCTCGTCGGCTACACGCGTGAGTGACCCCAGGCGACTCTGGTGCGCGGCGTCCGGGGCGACACGAGGGGAAAGGGGGGGACAGACCCAAGCGCACAAGCCGCTGCCATCGCCCTGGCGCTTGACGATCGGGGGACCCCGGTGGGCCCGCACCAGTGGTCGCCCTGGCGGAGGGGCACTCGTCCCCGAGACCCGACGTTGCGAAAACATGCCACGTGGTACAAGATCACGATCAGAGCCCGAGCCCCATGGCCAAAGGGCCCCGGGACACACAGATGAAAAGACGCAGGTCCCAGGATTCCCCCTAGTTTCCCATACTTTCTGGGCTTCTGTCTTTCCCCCCCCCCTCCCATATGTTTTCGCACAACTTCCTGGGAGGCGACGGTCCGGGCATCCGCCTGCGCCCTGCCTCGGGCCGGATCGACCCGGGAGGGCCCCGGGGGCCCGAAACGGGGCGAAGGCGCTGGCTGCGAAAGAATGGCAGCGCCCAGATCTGAGGGAGACCAGGCAAACCGCTTGAGACATCCCCACAAAACGGCCGCGGGAGGAGGAGGAGGAGGAGGAGGAGGAGGAGGAGGAGAAGAGGAGGAGGAGGAGGAGGAGGAGGAGGAGGACGGGACAGTGCAACACCCCTCGGCGGCTCCCCTCAGGGGGGTGAAACTGAGCGCCTCGCTCGAGACATCCTCCAAATCTGCTCCGAAGGCGAAGGATGCTGGGACAGAAAAGGGGCAAACCGCTCAAGATATCCCCACAAAACGGCCGCGAACGGGACAGTGAGATAACCCCTCGGCGGCTCCCCTCAGGGACGTTGCTAGTCAATTGCAACCTGGTAGAATGAAAAAAATCACGCCCAAAGCCCTAGACACCACTTGTGTGTTTCAGTTTCTCGCGCCGGATCGATCTGCGGGGGTCTCGGGGCCCGACACCTGGCGAAAACGCCAGTTGTGAAAAAATGGCAACGTCAGGATCTGTGCTCAGCCGCCCCGATACGAAACACGCAACCCGTAGCGTGTTGACACGGAGCTCAACACGTGGACCGAAAGCGTAGGGCTGAAGCGATGCGTTCGCCAACACGCGGACCAACAATTACGTGGAGGAGCCGACACGCAACGTATTGGCACGGACGTGTTGAACACGGCACGTGTTGCGCTTCAGCACGTGCGTATCGAGACAGCTGTAGAGCCCGCTGCCCGATGTGACAACATTGCAGCGGCCGGACCCAGAGATCCGAGGTCGTGTTTTTGGTGACGACCTACCAGACCACCCCAACCCAACCCGAAGGCCCGAATTTCGGGTTGGGAGGGGGTAAGGGTTCCATACGTGTTTTTTCGGCGTTCCCCGACCCCCCCCCACACTGGAAATAGAGGGCAAATTTGGGCCTTCGGGTTGGGTTGGGGTGGTTTGGTGGGTGGTGATTTGGTCCATTCGAGGCCCGCGGAAGTCTCGA